TTGTGTCATCCACATAACGTAGGTTGTTGATGATTCTTCCACCAATCCTACCATTTTTACAGTCAGGAAAATGGAGGTTTGGAGAGGTTAAATAATTTGTTTAATCAGCCAGTTTGATTCCATATTCTGTGTGATTAACCACTTCACACCGCTGCCTCCAAATTAGAGGACATTTGTCTATTGTTGCTCAGACATTCTTCACAGTGATTACTGTAAAACCAAATGCACATGTATGGGGCAGTGGTGGGGTAGTGGTAGAATTCTGGCCTTCCATGCAGGAGATCTGGGTTCAATTTCTAGCCAATGCACCTCAGAGGAAGTCACCAGTGACCCTGAGTGGAAGCTTGTATGTTGTTGTGATGATGTTCAACAGATGTCAGAGGAGCTTCTGGCTTAAGCTGGATTACAAAGGAAGGTTTGATGATCTCCTGCCAAAAAAATGTGCATCACAGTGCTACAATCATCAATCTTCAGGATGGCGCAGAAACAAATGACTTTCAGTTCCACCGTGCAGGGAGTAGCCATGAATGACAGTTAACAAGAACAAAAAACACAGCAAAGCATCTTCATGCTTAGCTCAAAGGTGATGTTTTATGCTTACCCTGGATGGATTCTATAACTATCCTGTAGGCTGTGGCATGACGGTGCATCTGCCACTGAGCACACAAGCTGGTCAGTTCAATCTGGTTGGCTTGGAGATCGGTCACTCCTAACGGGACTACAATGAAACAGAAAGAGAATCATGTCACACAACAGACAGTGCCACTAGTGTCCAAAAGTATGAAATGAACCTGAACATTAAAAAATCCATTTCAATGTTCCACACTTCAAGGCAAGAGACCAGTCCATGCACTAACATACATTTTCATAATGGCATTTTTATTAGATACGTTGTTATTTGTGACAACTGCTGTTTGGGATCAGAAAGGAATCAATATTTTTCATTTAACAGCAAATGTTAATGATATTATAGCCAGTGCGCTGCTGCTTCTCATTTTTTAAGACCTATCCTCAACAAGAGGCCTGTGAAAAATGAAGCATTACCTGCCTTAATAGGTTTCAATCTCCTGCACTGCCTGCTTCAGTGATATTTTGGAGTCTATTAAAAGCACTAAAAAAATTCACAGTAAGACACCACCAAACATACTCTTGCAGCTCGGTTTTTTAGGTTTTCTCAAGGAAAAAAAAATAAGAATAAATGTGCAAGTTATTAGCCTCTTTTTGTTGTTGGTGGTGTTGCATTGTTAAGGTAAATGTTACTTTTCTCCACTCCTACACTAGGATTATTGTCATGCTCAAGTAGTAAATAAAGAGATAAGACTGAAATCAAGTAATGGTGGTTAAAATAAAAATAAAAAAAATCAGTGTTCAAAACAATATAATTTATGACCTGAGTAAAAAGGATGGAAAATATCATGTTGGCTATGGGCTGATAACTGAAAAAAGGAAATATATAATCACGAGTAAAAAGTTCAAATGCAATAGAATGTGAACCTAAGAGTGATGGTTAATCTTCCCAACTTATTTATTTGTATTTTTTAACTACTCTACAATGAACATATGACATTCTAGGATTTTTTATGAGTTATTAAAAATTAAATAGATTACATAATTTTCACCACTGGAAAAAGACAAGCTATGAAATAAGAGGAAAAGCCAAAGTAGAAGTAAGACAAGGAGCATGAATGCATTTTTAGAGATGGTTAGAAATGAAGAAAGTTTCCACAGATAATAAAACGTATGTATAATTAATACATATATTCTTGCTAACCTTAGAACAAATGATGACAATTTTTTTAGGAAATTGTAAAAGTATTGTCTCTCCAAGAAAATAGAGATATCCCTGGGGGCTTTTTCATGGAGAGTTAAGCAAAAGAAGGATGAATTTGTAGTATTTACATTTTCTCATGGCCCCTCACGTCCATCCTCCAAGGTTGCTATGAGTCAGAAACATCTTGATGACAGGGAGGACTGGATTCTCCCCGCTTATTCTCAAATACAAGGCAGAATGACTGGTTTTTATTTTGGTACTTCATGTGTTCTCTTCTATATGTGTTAAAAATACGGATTTTTTTTTTTGCTTTATTTATGTGGTGCTTAAAGGTATTTAAGTAAAAAAAACAAAACAACCCTGTATGTTTATTTAAAAAGATGTATTAGACAGATGGTGTGGAGGTTTGATAAACATCCAGAATATGAAACAAATATGCTGACCTTGGAAAAACACTGCATTATGGCATGGGTGTCTGGATGGGTGCCTGTCATGAGGCGTCCTAGATGGTGGCAGAGAGCTAAACCCCTAACAGACTAGAGAAGAAAGTGCTTAAAGGTCACATGTATTTTTTATGTATGATGGGGGGGGGGCGGGTAAAGTGTGTGGTGAACGCTCTGAGAAAAGACAAACTTCTCCCTCTCCTCTCACTTCAGCTGGGATTGGCCTAGTTGGCCACAGACCGGTTGGAAATGTTCACCTAATTTGAAAAAACCCCAACAAAGACTTTCCAGAGGGAAATCCTATCCTCAAGTCGATTGGAACACCAGGTGCTGACATCTCCTCTGCCAACCAGGAATCCCAACCACAGCCCTGAGGGAGCAGCACACCTCTTTCCACGAAACTCCCTCCAGAAAGAGCAGAGCTGAGGAAGAGACCGACCAGCTGCCAAAGCGAAGCAGAGCTTGAGTTACAGAGCAAACAAAGCAGCAAAGCCACATGTGGGGGCGGAGGCGGCAGAACATCAGTCTTACGTGTTTTCACCACGCCTGTCAGAGCGTCGCTGAAGCCTGAGGCCTGGGAGGCAAAGATTTTCACGTTGTAGTCCATCCCACTGAGGAGGTTTGTGATAAGGATGGTGTTAATGTCGGCTCCCACAAACGTCTCCAGGGTGGGGCCAGCAACTAAAGGAAGCATAGTATGTTTCAGTTACAATGTTGTTGTTAGGTACTGTCAAGTCTAGACAACTCATAGCGACCCTATGAACAAACAAAAGGCTTGAGCCATTTCGGAAGTGGATACCACTCTTGCTTCCAAGCTTGTTTTAAATGGGGAGCTCCACCAAACACTGTCCACCATGGGTAATCATTCTCACATTTGACACATCAGTGTCACAGTGCTTAGCATCACAGCAACCCGAGTTACCTCTGTAGAGCAATGCACAGACCAGTGCTATACCACCTAGAAGAATGTCTGACAAAAAACAATTAAAACCAGGCCTGAGGGCCGCAGATTAAAATCACCCACCTTGGGTTTGGGAGCATAACTTTCTGTCCACTAGGCCAATATAGCTCTCTCTATGCTGTCGTTGTTATTGTTGTTAGGTGCTGTCGAGTCGTAGACGACTCATCGCAACCTTATGAACAAAAGGCCTGAAAACTGTTCATAGAGTTTCTGGAGGCAAGCCATTTCAGAAGCAGATGCCACTCAGAAGCACTCTTGCAGCAAGTTACATGGACTCAACTGTTTTTCAGTTAGCCAGGATTACACAGGATCAGAAAACAATAGGGGTAGGGTTTGAACCCAGGCTCAACTAGTTCTCTAACCACCTTATCTGACTCCCATGCTAGAGGTTTTCTGCTGTTGAGTATATCTTTTTTAAAGCAAAACAAAAGCTTTCTATTTGGATTTGGGTAAAAGTTTAGAGAGAAAACTGGCTTTCCATTCAACAGTTCACACACACTTTGTTTCCTAGAATTGACTGAAACTCCACCGTATTAATAGCACTCAATCAGGGACCAGAAAAGATGGGCTAATCATGGGTATAGTCCAATGGTGATTAACTTTCTAAAACACAATTTATCTGCTGGAAGGAAAAAAAACCCACAATGTTTGGGAAGGATTGTATCTAACATAATGTCAATGAAGGGAATTATAAGGAGAAAATCTGCATAGTAAAAAAATAAACAGAGAAAAGTAAAAGAAAATAAAAAGACAAACTATTAAAAAGTCCTGATCTAGTTAAAAGCTCCTAACTTCTTTCTCTTTTCTTCCAGAAAGCAGTACCCTTACTTTTAAGTTGAAACAGTTGAAGGTGTCTAGTGATATTGCCAAATGTCCATTGGACAGCAAATCATACCAACTGAGAAACACTGCTATTTGCCTCCAGAAAACTTGGTAAATATTTGTAAACTGGTCCAAAGAACAAATTCAGAGAGGCCATATTGCAAATTAACACATGCCTGCGGCCAAATGCAAAGACTGAAAGAAAACCAGCAGTGGATCCCAAGAAATAAATCTCCTAGCAGCCCAGTGAATCTGTGTCTGATCACTGCCATTTCATTTTAGTATTTAATAGGGATTTTTTTAAAATTTGGACAAATTGGAGGTGGGTATTTTAGTTGCAGCACAAGAGTCAAAAAGGCTGCTGGATAATGGGATCCCAGAGCAGAGGGTGGAGATGGTTCCAGAAACAAGAACAACTTCTCAGTCTGGCGTCTGGGACTAATGGAGGGCTTTTGGGCAGGAAGCATATTTTCTTTTCCAACACGACCCAAACAAAGTTTCTCAATGTCTTTCATGCCAAATTGGGAGAAATCGTTCAGCAACAGCTTCCTGATAAGTAACCAGTGTGTCTAAGTCCTGGATCTAGAAAATGAAGACAAGTATAGTATCTATTTTCTTTTCCATTGTGATTTGAGTGAAAGTTTGTGAGACAGACCGGTTTTATATTAAACTCTTCATATACATTTTTTTGTTTTAGTGCATTAATTACAACATCCACAGTGTAATTGCACATTTAAATGCAAATGAACACATAAAAAATTCCACATGTTTGGCATGAACTTTACTATTCCTTTACTTAAACTTCCATTAAAGGGCTATGGCAGAAGATAGTATTATAATAGTGCTCAATGGTCTTCTCTCTTTAGGAATGTGGACCAAGCATGTAGGCCACCCAGACTTGGGGCGTTCTCCTGTTTTCATGAATAGTGCTGTAGGTAAAGGAGGAGGAAGGGGTCATCTTGTAAAGCTACTCATAAAGAGGCTGCTGGAGAAGTTTTATTACCTCAACCCTACCGCACTGATGAGCTTTAGCTCTTGACATAGTTTCCAAAATGTAGAGACTGAAAGTTAATAAAATGACATTTTCCCAGTTAACTCAAGGAAAAAATAAAAGATTAGAAACAAGAGATTCTGAATGTTGAGATATTGTGTACTCAGTGCCCTCTAAAGCATCCTATCCCTACAAAGTTGAGATTTTCTTTGATTGGTTCATTGCCTGGGATCGGAATGGCTGGAGAGGTGAGGCTTACACCAAATCCACAGTCTACTTGCCTAGCATTGACCACACGGGATCACCTTTTTGATGATCTTACTAGAACGTCTTCCCCTCCCCTACAAAGGTAAGAGGAACTACCCATGTCTTTCAAAGGGCAAACAAAATCAAGTTTGGGGACAGCAGGGTGAAGAAATGCCAAACTATCCTAAAAGGCATTTTAGCTTTGGAGGTCGAGTAAGAAATTGTGCTGTCAATCCAAAGGCACATGGTTCAAATCCACCAGCTGCTCCTCCTGTCTGGTTTACAGTATCTGAAAACTCACTTGAGGATCAGCTATGGGTCAGTTCCAATTGGATGGCAGTATGTGTATATATCAATAGCTATCATCTATCTATCTATCTATCCATCCATCTATCATTATCTATCTATCTATCTATCTATCTATCTATCTATCTATCTATCAATCTATGTAGTGAGCAATCTTTCTACCATCTATCTAATCATGGTAAATATTGACTATATCATAGATTTCATTATCTGTCTATCTATGTAGTGAGCAATCTTTCTATCATCTATCTAATCATGGTAAATATTGATTATATCATAGATTTCTAAAAGAAGGAACAAAGTTGTCTCGGAAGAACAATGACCAGAATGCTCTTTAGAGACATGGATAGTAAGTTTTCATCTCATCTAGTCTGGACATGTTCCTGGAGGGACCAGACTCTGGAAATAGACATCATACTTGGTAATGTGGAGGATCAGGAAAAGAGGACGACCCTGGTAAAATTGACTGATACAAGAGAAGCAACAACGGGCTCTGGTACAGCAATGACTGCAGACGGTGCAGGATGGGACGGTGCTTCATTCTGTTGTGCAGAAGGCAGCTTTGAGTCAGAACTGACTCAAGATATCTAATCACAATAGCAATCACAGCAGTACTTCTTTTAAACTCCTTACTTACCACTAACAGGTTTGTAGACAATTCGATAGCCCTTGACAGGTGAAGATGGGGGGTCCCACGTAATGCGTAGTCGGTTATACCACTCCTCAGAGACCCGTAAGTTTTGAGGACCAGACAGGGGTACTGAGCAGAGAACAAGAAAAAACCGAATTCAGTGTGGCTCTCATCTCTACAACCTACTTTACCGTTAGCAAAATCTAAGATATCCTTCTACTGTGAAAACTATGCCCAAGTGAAATGCACTAGCTTCCCAAGGAGAGGCTTTTGAGAGTCTATAGTTAATTTAAATATTAACTATAAGGAAAAGAAGAAGGCCCAGGAGTACACAGAGTTGCACACTCCAGTATTAACTCAAAGGTAGGTGGTTCAAATTCATCCAGTGTAACTCAGAAGAAAGGCCTAGCAATCTACAGAGTTGTAGTTCTTGTTGCTGATTGCCTTTGAGTTGAGCACGACTTGTAGCAATCCTATGAACAAAAGGCTTGGAGCACCTCTACACCTACAGACATTCATCAAAGTTCATAAAGTTTCAAGACAAGCTAATAGATCAAGTCTACTCTGTCATGGGATCACTGCGAGTCACAATTAACCAGACAACATAAATCAATAATATGAATGCGGTGAAGGACTTTTATCTGAAGTTCAGCAATGAACACAGTGCCGTTTGGCTCCTTTTCTTTAGCTACTTTTAGTTCACCCTGAATACAAGAGCATTTCTTAAAGATAATCTACCAGTAGGCCCATTAGTTGCAGAAACTAAGTAACAAGGGAGAGCAATATTGAAGGTGACATCCACGCAATTAGTAATAAAGACATTTATTCTTACAATATGCTTCTAGTTATTATTTTTCTCCTGCTCTCATCTTCATGCTGCCTATATTACTTAGAATTTTAGGCTAGCATTTATCAGTTTTTAGCAAAGCATTGGTAAATTTATTAACTAAAATTCATAAAGAGGGTTTCTGTAAACTACTATGGATAATGATTGACATGATATCATTTTATTGGGATGACCATTGTTTAAAAGAAGTAGACCGCTCACTAACACTTTGAAACAAGTGATTTTACTATACAGAGATCATTATATGTGGTGGCATTTCTTTTTGTTTAAGAGGTTTGGAATCCTATATTGTTTTAAGGCTTGCATAGCCTCCACTGGGTAAACTGACTCTGTATCTACTCATCCTTTCCAGATGGATTATTTCCATTGCTTTACTTTTTTCGTTTGTCTTCTTAGTCTTTAAATTTGAGTAAAAGTTTATAAATCATATTGGTTTTTAACTCAATTGTTACAGACATTTTGTTTTATAACATCAATTACAAATGAAATTTACTAAAGTGATTTATTGCCATGCCTAACCAAATCCTTATGGTATAGTCTTTTCCTTTCCTCAGATTATCTAAGAATTTTTACCTTTTTCCCTTATTTCTCATCCCTGTGATTAGGGATGAAATTGTGGTATCATTTTTGTAACTAGTAACAGTCTTTGCATAGTCTTCGTTTGAGAAAGAGTTTGTGTCTGTGAGTGCATGCATGTTCGTGTGCGTGTGTGTGTCTGTCTGTGTGTGCACAATGGGAGCCTCTTATAGCTTACAGTGATTTCTGCTAATTCATTAAATAGACGCAATAGTAGATCTGTTTGCCTGAAGTGTAGCTTTTTGGAGGCTGGATGTCCAACTCGTTGGTAGTTAGTTACAGTCCCTTTGCCTTCCCACCTCCATGCTCGCCTCCTCTTCACCCCCACAGTAGCAGAGCTTCTTTGGAATATTAGGGTGTGGAGTCGGGTGGGGTTGTCTGATAGAAAGACATGGGTAGGCAAGGAGGATGTGCTTTGACGAATCAACAGGAGTGTGATGAATCAATTTTATGTCAAAAGGAGAAATAGGTTATCATTGCTTTTCCAGTCTTAGCTTTTAAAGAAGGGCAACTGAAATCCATAGCAATTGAGAAATTTGCCCAAAGTCATACAGTTTGCATGTTTAGAGATAGGATTCAAACCCAAAATTTCTGTCTCCAAATTGCTTTTGCCCTTTTAGCTAGGTTAAACGGTGTGCATCAAAGGAGATGGGGATTTTAGGCATTTGCCAGTGAGTGGAGTCCCTGCCTATGTGCTCATAGTTATTGCATTCATTTATTAACCCAGTGTCTGCAGGTTTGCATCCACGTGGAGGGAAGGACAGGTGCTCTTCACTCACTGATAATCGCAAGGACCACAGTGCTGCTCTGACACATGGCGTTGTCCTGATTAGGAACCGACTTCACAGTGTCTGTGCATGCTCAGCCAAAAACCAGAGACAGAAAATTCACTCACAAGTTTTCCCAGGGGCCGAGACGCTGACACCTTCGCCATCAGTGTAGATGGGGGTCACTGTGACTTTGTATTCCGTGTCAGCAAGCAGAGGCTTCAGCAGGAGTTGGTTCTGAGTTCCAGGCACCATAACCTAAACAGAAAAGCAAAAGTTGATGCTAAGTAAGATTCCTGTTCCCACTCTTGCCCGAGAGGAGCCACATTGTGGGCACTTTGAACTATCAGAAGCAATGAGGTGTGCTTGGAGAAGAAGGAAATAGAGGACGTGCATGCAAAACCACTTCTTTCTGAAAATCCCTCTCTCTCAGTGGTGACTTCTCGTTTGTAATGATTAACGCAGAAGATTTAATTAGAAGCTCCAAGGCTCAGGGGAATAGTCTCCTCTCAACATCATCTAACCATTCGTGAAGTAAGTGGACAAAGACAAGAAGCAGGTGTTTATGACTTAGGAGAGTTCATTCCACAACTTAGCTCATGTATCTTTTTCCACTTTACTGAAGTAACCACTTGAAAGTTCAGCTTTCCCTTCTATATCCCTTCAGTGATAATTTGATCCCAGCATTATCACTCTTCCATTTGCAAAAAATGGCTTTTAGCCAAGAGCAACAGAATCAGACATTAAATTCAAGGTCTCCAAGTTAGAACATGGTCACCAACACCACTAGTGTTGCAATTCCTCTTTTCTTCTGAAAGGAGATCTCTTCTTTAATCTGAAGTCCTCACCACTCGGTCTCCAACAGCTACAAAAACGGGCTGTGGCAGTGGAGCCAACATCCGTCCAGGCAGTAATGAAACACATCATGTGGCGTGGCAGTGCAAATTCTGGCTTTCCTTTCCCAAAAGAACGGCGTGGAGCAGAAAAGCCACATGCTCTCAATGCAGAAACCACAGAGAGGTCGGCCTGCACTCCAGCAGTGAGATGCTGGCACGTCTGGGCTATTTAAGGAATTTAATCATGGCTGGAAACACGCAAAGACGCAAGAACTAACCCAAGAGGGCTTAAGGGTGTCACAAGACTCGGACAGCTGGAGACACTTTTCAGTTCAGGGGCTGCACAGAATGGCAGCAGGCAGAGGGCTGTGCTGTCTCTCTGCTCCTGGATGGAGGGGAGAAACCTTTATAAATCATGCAATAAGCCTGAGAAAGCCTTGAGTTGAACCCGGGAGCAGCTATTGCGAAGATTTAGTTAAGCTCTAAAAGCAGTGAAATTTACTTTATTTTATTTTTAATATGAAAAAGGAGGTCTGGAGTAGGTGATTCTAAATTAGATTATTATGTTCCCTGAGACTTCTGAGAGACGTTGAAATGCACATGTGTGGCTGGGCTGATGTGTGGGCGTAGGAACCTGAAGAGATTCTGAAAAGGAGCTCTGCTCTGCTTTGTTCTAGAGTGATCGACTTTAAACACACATAGGAGACGTCGCAGAGTTGCTCTGACTTGTATTAATTAGCTCCGTGACGTGGCTCCATCAGGGCATTTTTGATCAATTCTTTGGAACACAGAAAACCAAGCAGGCTGTCCAGCAAACCACCCCTGTTGATATCTCTGAAGTAGCTCTTCAACTGAGAACCAATCCAAGTTAGAGGAGAGACCACTGAGAGGCAGTGCAGCCACTCTGAGGATGCATTTAGCTTTCCAGGAGGACATTCCTTCTGGCTGTGAATGAATAGCTATCACTTACTCAGGGGGGGCGGGGATGACCCATCTTTCTCTTGGGCAATGACTGGTGGATTCTAACCACTAGAGATGGATGCAGCCTTTCAGTTAGTGGCTGCATGCAATGGCCCTCACCATCGGAGCAGGGGTACATTTTACAGATGGGGAAACAGAATCCATACACAGTGAAGGGCTACAGTAGTCAAACTGAACCTACCTAACTTCAGTAATCTGTCTCCAGGTCTTTAACCCCTCAAGTCACTGCACATGAGTGTCCTGCTTGAAACTTTTTATACCAATGATCCTCATTTCCAGAGAAAAATGTCAGTCTTCTCTACGTGTTCCTACTGAAACATGGGCTACAGGCCACAGCAGATGGTGATTTTATTTCTACAATTCTGTAACAGGATGCTTATAGTTACATGGGATGCAGGTTTAGCCAGTGGCTATTATGCAGAACAGATTGTCCGGGAGGCTGGGCTCTATGAGGAGAAGTGTGGCATCAGAATTGGTAGAAGATTCAACAATCTGTGTTATGCAGATGACACAACCCTGCTCGCTGAAACTGAGGAGGACCTGAAGTGCTTGCTCCAGAGTGTCAAGGACTGCAGCCTTCAATATGGATTGAGGCTCAATATCAAGAAGACAAAGATTCTCACCACTGGGCCAATTGTCAGCATTGGGATGGATGGTGACGAGATTGAGATTATTCACAGCTTTAGTTTACTTGGCTCCACAATCAACACTCTTGGCACCAGTAGCCAGGAAATTAAGATGTATTGTGATGGGAAAGTCTGCTGTTAGGGACCTCTCCTGAGTACTGAAGAACAATGGTGTCACTCTGGAGACTAAGTTGTACCTGATATAGGCTCTGGTCTTTGCAATCACTTTCTATCCATCAGAGGGCTAGACAATGACTAGGGATGATAGAAGGAGGATTGATGCCTTTGGACTGTGGTGCTTGGAAGAGTGTTGACTATACAATGGACTGCTAGGAGAACAAACAGGTTCATCTAGGAGAGGATTAATCCAAGCTGCTCGTTGGAGGCAAGGATTCTAAGGCTTCGTCTGACATACTTTGGACATGTTGCAAGGAGGGACATCATGTTTGAGAGGATGGAGGGACAGCGCAGGAGGGGAAGGCCCTCTATGAGGTGAATTGATTCAGTGGCTGGGGTAATCGAGGTGGGTGTATCCAAGACAGTGAGATTGGCATAGGACAGAGCAGGGTTTAGGGCTGTTGTACATAGAGTCGCTTTGAATTGCAAGCGACTCGATGGAACATAACAACAACAACAACAACATATTGTTCTTAATTTTTTTCAGAAATGAAACTACTAGTTCCATTATCACCCCAAGCTCTTCAAGAGAAGCCTGGATCACATCCAGCAAGTTGTCTCCTGAAATAGACAGAAGATTCTTGACACCTTATTCAATAAATGTCATTCTACATAAAGCCTGGCTTTCTAGATAGAGTTTCTTAAAGTCATTGTGAAAAAGAATTGAGTGCTGCTGCTGCTGTTTTAATTCGAGCCCTCTCAGACCAAGATGTTTATAAAATAGAATAAAAATTACTTTCTCAAAAAGTGATGGTGTGCTTTCCCTGTGCAGTGATGTCAAATTGTCATAAGTCTAAAAAAATTAATCTTATTTTATGTTTACATAATTTATTGCAAGAAAAATGCCATGAAAATTCAATAATAAGAACATTTGAAGATCAAGAGGAAAAGAGTCTGAAGGAACTCTACATCTAAAAGATTAATCTTAAACTCTGTGCTTGTCCTATAAGATTCTGGGTCACTGCTCCAAGTGCCATTTTTTCCTGGAAAATTGTGTACAACTCTAAACTACATCATGGTTATAGATTCTGGACAACTAGTCTGTCTCTGGAGAACTTGAGAATCTTAACCAGCTTTTCAGCAGTAAGTGTGAGATCTTTCTCCTGGGGGAACAAAACTCAGGACAATGTCATGGCCACACCTCCATGTTTCAGAACAGGTGAGGGGTCATATTTCAGAAGAGGAGGGAGTTAATCCTTATGAAACATCTGACAAGCCCTTTTCCTTTCTAAAAATCCCAAAAGGTTTTATTTGTTCATTTGTTTCAACTGGAGATGCTCATTTGATTTTCTTGACACAAATCTATTCATACGATTACTGCAATTGGAATAGTAAATTTCATCCACCTTGTTTTACATGTATTAGAAATGAACTTGGATCTACAAGGCTAATAGTACCTGTGGTATTCTCCAACCTCAATATTCTATTTAATGCTTTCCTCATTAAATATATCTGCTTATACAGTTAAAGAAAGAGGTAAAAGAAGACTCTTTCTTCACCAGATTTGCCTTTCTCATTTTCAAACATATTCCAGGCATTTTTTTTCAATCCTTGCTATTGTTGCTAGATGCTGTCAAGTTAGCTCTAACACATAATAATTCCACTTAGTACAACAGAAGCCATCCAGTCCTGCACCATTGCCATAATTGTTGAAGCCCTCCAATCCTGCACCATCGCCACAATTGTTGAAGTCACGAAGCACCTTCTTTGCTTTCACTGACACTCTATTTCTTCCAACTTCATATTCTTCTCCAGAGATGGTCCTTCCTGATGACACACTCAAAGTATATGAGACCAAGTCTCATCATCTTTACTTTTAAGGAGCAAGACAGATGTGTTTGTTCTTTTGCCAGTCCATGGTATATTCAATTCTTTCTTGCCAATCTCACAATTCAAAGTCACCAATTCTTCTTCAGTCTTTCTTATTCATTGCCCAACTTTCAGATATAAATGAAGCAAGTGAAAAATACCATGGCGTGGGTCAGGCACATCTTAATCTTTATGGTGACATCCTTGCTCTTTAGCACCTTAAAGAGGGCAGTAGATACGCCCAATGCAAAATGTTGCAGACATCCTCATTTTAAGACAGCCATCTGGTCAGTGGGAATTCAGACCCTGAGGCTTTGACACAATCTGTAACTGCCTGTCCTACTTGGTTCTACAGCTTAAATGTTTGTCTCCAGAAAGAGCAAATTACATCTGTATAGAAGTAACATTTCCTAAATCAATGGCATACGCTCTTCATTTATCCTGAGATGAGTTCCTAAAAAGGTGCATGTATACCACAAGGCTAGTTCAATTGAAGTACATTAAAAGATCTTAAGATTGAAAGACTTGTACATTGCTTTCCTCTGAGTAGAATAAATAATAGTGACAAAACCCCCCTATAATAATAGAGTGAAACCTATGAGAATGGGAATTTTACAAGACTACTTTGCTTCTGTATGTCTTGAAAGTTTTTCTTCCTGGACAAAGTTTCTCTCCGTCTTTTGGCAAGTTACAATCCTTCAAGCTGTCCTTCAAGCTGTCAATTGCTCTCAATCAAGTGCAAAACATTTTACTTGTTCTTCTCTGACAGGTTCTAGAACTCTATTGTGTGTGTCCCAGTTTCCTCAGGTTTAACTAGGACAATAACACTTCTGTACAGCAAATGTTTATCAAAATGACCAATATTTTTCATCGTTAATTAGAGTTTGTTTAACTGAGCACTTGTGTGTGTCAACCTTTTGATCTATTTTCTTTCATCTAGGGGTCTGCATGTTCCAAAAATAAGCAACTGGGAGTGGAAAGATGCCAGAAAAGAGGAAATTATCTAGAGACTGAGCAAAGTAAATATTGTTGCACCTTGCATAGTTTACAAATGCATGTAGGAGATTAAATTGTTACTCCTTTTCCAAATTAGCAAGAATAAGTCCCTAAGAAACTTCATGTGTTTCTTGGAAAGAGAGGAAACAAAACAAACAACAACAAAAACCCTGTCACTACTGGAGAATTTTCATGTCTCAATTTTAAGGATAAACTTACAAGAACTGTGACATGTGAAATAAAATCTCAAGATTATATCTTCAATTCCCACCGCTAAACACATTTTTTGTATTTTTTAATTTGTTTGTCATCAGTTACTTGAAATACATGGTTCAATTGAATTATTTTTTAGATTGTGATTTGAGTGAAAGTTGAAAAAACCAACTGGTGCTCCATTCAGCCTTTCATGCACTTGTATCATGACAGCATTAATTATAATACTCATATTGTACACAGACTATTTTCTACTTCCTGCCTATGATTCTTGTTTCCATTTGTTTTATATCCCACCCGGCTTGATCTCTGGGCAAATGCTGACTTTTGGTCTTACATTGTTTTTTGTACTAAGTCCAGGTGAATTTAAAACCTAGATTATTTGAGTTGGATCATCCGTTAACTTCTCAAAAGCATCCCTCAGTCAAGTCTATGGACTTTTTTGTTATTCATAGTAGTTGTCAGGTGCCGCTGAGTCAGGTGTGAACTTGTTGTTGTTCCACTGTGTTGTTCAACAGTATGAACAACAGATTTGAAATCTGTCCTACCCTGTGCCATCCTCACAATCTCTGACCCACTCAATCCTGTTGCTCACTGTGTCGGTTCAATCTGGTTGAAGGTGTTTCTCTTTTTCACCATCCCTCAACCTTCCCAAATATGATGTCCCTCTCCAAGCAAAAGCCTCTCCTAGCAACATGTCCAAAGAATGTGAGGCCAAGCTTTATCATCTTTGCCTCCAAGGATTACTTTGGCTGCACCCTCTCCAAGACATATCTGCTTTCTTGGCTGTCCATGGGATATTCAGTGCTCTTCTCCAACACCACAGCTCAAAGGCATCAATTTTTCTTCTGCCATCCTTATATTCACTGTCCAGTGTGGGCAGCTGTTCCCTGGTCGAGTACTATGCTCTGTGAAGCTTCTTCTTATCAGCCTGAAATAAAGCACTTTCCTGGAAAATGTTTTGGTTCAAATGGTTGTTTATATAAACAAACAATAAAAATTATTATTTCTGTAAAATGCTTTGTGAATAAGAAAAGGAGAGGAAGGATAATAATGACACTATTCTTAGAAATATTGAATTTGGGAGGATTTTTTTCTAGAATGGCTTGGAAGTTACACAGCATAGTGTGAGAAATGAAAGTAATGAGGCTAAATAATGCCTATTCTGTGACTAAGAAAAGAATTTCTTTTGAATGAAAACAAAAATAAACTTATCTTACTCAAAACATGTCTAGAAAAGAATGTTAGGATGAAATGGATGATGTGTTGAAAATGAATAAAATATGGGAAGGTCATGGTTAGAAAACTCAACAAGTAAAACTTCAAATCTCTAAGCTGAGAGGCTCATGATTAAAAAGAAATTAGAAAACATAAGTAAAATAAATAAAATTTTTTAAAACAGAAATCAGAGATGACAAAAAATCTTCTAAGCATAAACTGACATCAGTGAAAATATAACCATCATCATTACCTGCTAATGAATAGACGGCATTTCACTGACCATCTGGTCAATCATGACTCCCGGTCACCCTCCATTGGGTGTGTGAGGCTATAAATCTTAACGGACACTTAGCACTTCATCTTTCTCCTGTGTAACAGCTGGGGGCTTCAAATCACTAAACCTTTCATGGTGTGTAATTAGGAACGCTTACATGATAGAAAGACTACAGTCTAAGTGTACAACTTTTCCACAGACTTTCTGGCATGCCAGATGCACAAAACTGCTTTGAGATGCTGCAGCTTTCTGTGCACCCAGAAGTATCTTGAAGGAAAGGTTTGATGACCAGCTTCCAAAAAACGCAGCCACTGAAAACAGTCTGGAGCACAGCTTTCCTCTCACGAGTGTAGACCCTCCGTGGGTTAAGAGTGGATTCAACAGCATTTAGTTGACACATACACTTTTATTTACACTCACATTAGTATAATTAACTATTTTCCTAATGATCTAATGTGGTGCTCCAACAGGAAGTCAGTGCAAAAGAAATAAGGCTGGAGACCAGGTGCAGAAGGTGGAAGAGGGAGAAGGCTTTGGAGACAGAGCAGGCAGCAGGAAACAAGTGGTGAAGAGCGGATTAACCAGCATTAGTCTCTGGAGATGGCAGAGTGCTCAGGACTCTGGAGGTCAAGTTTGCTTTGATCTCTAAAGCAGCCTTGTTAGTTCTGTTAGTCAGAGAATCCCATCAAGTTTCTAGTGAGCCGTGAGGATACAGACCGTGGCCACCACCTCTTCCGCCGGCTCCCCTTGGGCAGTCAGATAGGTCACCCTGAACTGCTGCACACTGCTGTCTGAAATGTCCCATTTAACCCGCAGGCTAGAAGTTGTCTCATCATCTACAACCAGGTTTCTGATTCCTGTGCGGAAAACTAGAATAAACACAATCAAGTATTACAGAACTTATAACCCACTGAATTCCAACGCGAGCCGCACGGTCTGTTTGGGGAACTGCTTCAGCTATGTTTCATCGATTCACAACCACAGCGGACTCTCCTGTGGGTTTGCAGAGGCAGTGAATCTCATGGGAGTGATTATTCATCCTTCTCCCACAAAGCAGCTGGTGGATTTGAACTGTGTACCTTTGGGTTAGCAGCACAACTACTTAACACTAAGCCACGAGAGTACCCTCTTTGGGGAACTAGCAACAAATATCAGTCACTAGTCTTTTTCTTGTAAAATAGACTCACATGACTCAAAATCATCAAATGGTTAATTTCACCACTAACGGGGAGCCATGATACCTATGGGCAGCAAATGTAAATGGGTTAAATACATATTTACAACGTGTCTGGTGGATCATTCCGCCAAGTGCTAGCACCTTTCTGTAAACACTATGGAGACGGTAATGGGTGTGTCCATGGACACAGGACATGAAGGACACAGCTCATGAAGAACAAATAGGAGCAAGTTCAAGTTATCGTCACCCTAAGGCTCTGGTGAAATCACAGACATGAAGAGCCACACCCGGTCAGCCTCACAATATGAGTCCGTCTCCGACACATACCCCACCACTTGTCTCCTGGTTTTCTTTTGACACTTGTAACTTGAAGTACAAACTTTTCACCATCGCTACGTCTTATCCATCCAGCCCAAATGGCCATTTTTCTAGTATCCATCCAAACATCTTCACCTGTGTTCTCTGGAGCATTCATTCTCATTTCCCATAGTATCTGCTATGTCATTGTTTCCCAATGTATTCTCCCTCATTGAGTTCATCTCTACGGGCCTGCTTCTTCTCTTCATGCTTTCATTCTTTCATTTAGCAAATAAATATTCTCTGAGGTTTTTACCGAATGTTGGACTGAATCAAATCTTTAAAGTATAGAACAATTACCTCTTGACAGAAATAGTGATAATTATACAGAAGAGGTAGGAAATTTATATTTAACAGCAAAACAAGGGGAGGATATCAGACAGTGGAAAGAGGAAAGAATTTCTCACATGTAGAGACAAAGAATTCTAGATGGTAAGATGAAATGGCGAAAGCACAGAAAATGAGGGTTATGTCTGGAAAGGTAAGTTAGAATCAATTATGAGAGGTCTTAGGTGTTGGAGCATAAAGACCATGAGGAACAAAAGAGGTGTTTTAAAAGATTAATCAAATTATGGATGGGTGGATGGATGGATGGATGGATGGGCGGATCACAAGGTAATAAAGAGCCAGTGAAGGTCTTAAGGAAAAAATTTATTGTCAAGCTTGTGTTTTGTCTAGTTCATTCTGACGTAAGTTTGGAAATTTATTTGAGGGAAAGATTCACTGAGAGAGGACATAGCTTATCGGGGAAGAATATACTAGGGAAGTCTGTTACCTACTAAAATGTAAGAAAACCACGGCATGAGAATTCTCAACAGAGAACTCCAGGAGAAGTACGGAGGAAGACAATTATCTTTGGAGTTGGCTATGTTATCATCCTTGGAAATGTTAAAAGGAAATCTATGACAAACACAGAAAAGTTACAGAGATCTAACAGTGATATTAGTGACCTAAAACTGATGGGCGTCCAGCGGTGAAGAGGAAGAAATGGAGGAGTTCTGAGAAATGTGAAACTTGAACTTCCGTGTGGGAGAAAAAAGGTTTAAATATCTCTTTTATTTTTTAATACTATAAAATTTAAAACTGGGCCACTGTTGTAAAATGGGACTGACATCTGGGTTGAGGGAACACAGAGAAGGAGGGGAGGAATGATATATACTGCACTGAAACAGATGAATGAGAGAACTGTTTAAAAGGGATATATGATAAGGTATTATTGTCATGACAGGAGTCCAGAATGAAGGCTACACAGTGGAGTGGACTTGGGGGCAGGGACTGCATAACAATGAAAGAGTTTTTCTGTTTATGTTTATGTTTTAAGGAGAAGAGTGAATTGGAGGGATGGGGGTGGGCAGGGAGAAAAGTGCAACAATGAATGACTGGAAACCCTAAGTTTCTATAAACTTTCATTAAAATTAATTTTTAAAAAGGGGGGGAAATGGAAATAGCATAACTTTTGTCCCAAGTCAGTATTTCCTATGGGGAAGATAATTCCTCTGCATCCTTACCTTCAGTCACTGGTGTGGTTGCTGGAACGTCTGTGGCTCGCTCTGTCCACGCACTGTCAACTAAAGAAACGCTCACTTAATAACATTCTGCAGTGACACCAGGATTTGTGTATAGGAATTTGTAATAAAAAGCATTGCAGCTAGATCATCTTACTTGATCCTCACAACCACCTCATCTGTGTTGAGAAGACTTAAAAGAGGATGATAAGTAAGGCAGAGGCTGCATCTACTTTAAAGACTCCACATGTAAAGAAAGAAACCTAATGGCACCAGACTTCATGTAAACATTAGAATTATACCCCCAAAATGTGTCACCTTCAAGTTACTTTGACACTATAATGAAAGGAAACTAGACAGTGCTGCAGACCAACTAGTGTTGGTAGTAATGCAGCTAGTTGACAGACCCAACTGTTAACTGAAAAGGTGGAGGCATCTCAGAAGAAAGGCTTGCTGATCCCTTCTTAAACAGCCATGAAAACTCCATGCAGCAGAGTTCAACTATGAGAGCCAAGCTCAGCTGGACAGCAATTGATTTTCTTTTTAGTAGACCAGGGTTTAAGTTGTTGAAAGGTCGTGCCCCTCCTCCCAAAAAAAAGAGGCCACCCAGGAGGCAATGACCTCAGGCAAGAAATGCATCTTCTAAATCCTTGAACTAACTCATCCTAATCACCCAGGGGAATGGTGACCATTCACTGATGCCTAAGTTCCAACCAGATTCCCTCTTCAGGGATGAGATGCTGGATACCAGCTGCCAGTGGCTCACAGCTGCGTCCCTCACTGGGAATTACCTTGGTCAAGGTCACAGCATCTATCAAGGGACCACCCACTCCCAGTGACTGGGGATGCAAAGGCCCCAGCCTTGCTCTGGAGCTCACAGCAGGATCAGCTTAGCCTCAACTCGCAGGTACAGGAGCCAGGCACTCCCCATGCTCCAACCTGGGATTGCCTGCCTTCGCCAGATGGACCTCTGGCCTGCACTCTTCAACCATCCTTCTGGATGCAATTTTCTGTCCCAGAGTCCGATCCCAAAAAGCTAATAATCTAAGATAATTTATTATGTGCAAAATACCTCATATTAAAAAAAATGAACAGATGAATGAATCAGTGAGTGATTATTGTACAAGATTCTTGGAACCAGGATAAACTTGTGAAATTCTCTAGACACTCCTGGAAATGTCAGCCTCAGAGGTTTTTGAGTCCATTTTCTTTTTTGTTCATAAATTATCCTATCTATTCATTCATCCATTTAGTGAGTATTTATTATAGAGTACACATATTCCAAGCACTGTGCTAAGTTCTGGGAGTATAATGGGGAACAAGTACAGTCTACGCTGCCCGACTATGTCTTACGTGTGGTTCCAACAGCAGTCACCACCTCGCTCTCGCTTCCATCATCAAGCACAGCCAGCAGTGAAACTTCATACTCAGTGCCAGGCTCCAGGCCGTCAATGATGTGTGAGTCCTGGTCTTCTTGAAGGATAACCTAAAAAATACCTGGTGTTTAATAACTAGGTTTACTTTAATGAGGGAGAAAAAGAGTGTTTAAAAGGGGAATCAGAGGACAATTACTGCATGAGAAACAAACAACATGGTAAGTATAATTAACATTGAGTTGATCATGTAAAAATGAGTAAAATGACTCAAACTCCAGAAACTCTACCAACTTTAACAAATGTCAATAGTTGTAGAGGGTCTTCAGGCCCTTTTTTTCTTTTATTATTCTTATTAATTTCTTTTATTCACTGTGTGCCGTGCTTAACTCAAAGGCGATCAACAACAACAACAATTTTAAAAAGTGCCAAAGCGAAACTTGTTGTTGAGTCAATTCCAACTTCTAGTGACCCCACGGGACAGAGGAGAACCCCCTCTGGGGGTTTCCCAAGGCGATAAATCTCTAGGATAAGGCATTCTGGTGGTATAGTGTGTAGTGCAATGCTCTGTTAACCAAAAGGTTGGCAGTTTGAATCCACCAGCCGCTCCAGGGAGGAAGATGGTTAACAGCCTTGTAGTGTCACTGAATTGGATAAACAGCAGTGTGTTTGGGGTTTTGGATCTCTAGAGGAGCAGACAGTCATATTTTTCTCTCCTGGACTTGGTGGATTTGAAACATATACGTGGTTGCTGTGATGCTAAACACTGTGACATCGATGTGCCAAATGTGATAATGGTTACTCATGGTGGAGAGTGTGTGGTGGAGCTTCTTGATTAAAACAAGCTTAGAAGCAGGTGTGGCATCCAATTCCAAAATGGCTTGCCCCCAGAAACTCCATGAACAGTGCTCAGGCCTTTCATTCATAGGGTCGCTATGAGTTTTCTATGACTCAGTGGCACTTAACAACAATAACAGCAAACTTATAGTTATCAGTCAAGTGTTCAACCTCATTGCTCCGTATAAAGGCAGAAAAAACAAAGGAAAGAAGGAAGAGTAGGAGAGACGCAAGAACCCCCATGCATAACCTACTCCAGGGCTGATGGATTCAATTTTAAACTGGAGACTTTATCCCTTTCAAGGATCCCAGTAAAGAAAATAATTATATCTGAAAAATCTTATCAAATGTTTGTTAATAGTTAAACAATCTGAAAATATATATGCCATGGGTGACTTCTAATCCACGGCCCTCAGGCCTGTTTTTCATTGTTTTTATTCAAACACTCTTCTAGTTCGTATAGCCCTGGTGTGTCCACTTGCAGTACAGAGGTAACTTGTGGTTGCTGTGAAGCTGAACACTGTGACACTGATGTGTCAAATGTGTTAACGGTTGGTTGCCCATGGTGGACAGTGTTTGGTGGAGCTCCCCGATTAAAATGAGCTTGGAAGCGGGAGTGGCATCCACTTCCAAAATAGCTTGCCTCTAGAAACCCTATAAACCTGGAGAAAGGATGAAAGTCACACAAGTGTTGAGGACTTTTGTTCATAGGGTCGCTATGAGTCGCCTACGACTCGACGGCACTTAACAGCAACAACCTATCTTAAACTCTAAAGCAGTGCATTTTAGTCTTGGGAAAATCACACGATTTGATATTATACATCTCCGTGTCATGCAGACGTCACTTGGCTCCAGGATTCTCCACCTCATTCTAAAGAGAAAACCAACAACAGGTCAATGTATGTTTTTGTCCAGATAAACACTCCAATGAGGTTTCAGGAAATTCACCTCTTGAGTCTTCCCACCATAGACTGGGATCCACATCAACTTGTGCTGTCCTTCCTCAGCGGAAATGGGGTGCCAGGTCACTCTAAAACTATCTGTCGTCACCTCATCAATCTCCAGGTATTGCTGGGCCGGGATTTCCTCTGTAAACCCACAAAAGGGATTTTGTTAGGTAAATAAGAAGATGAGAAAGCCAACACTCAAGCCACTCTCAGGAGCTCTACAGAGAGAAGACGTGTGTGTGTGTGTGTGTGTGTGTGCGCGCGCACACTCGTGAGCTTTAAAAAGCATACACAGAAGAAATGAAAGCAGTATCAGTTTACTGTGGTCTTCCATTCCAGTATTTACCAACAACATACATTAGGTAAACCATGGAAATAATAGGTTTTAAGTTTTCTTATAATTTCTGAAATTCATAGATTCTTTAATTTGGCTCTTTCCACTTATAATTGAAAGTTTGCTTATTGTACTCATTCTTTTTCAAAGAGTCTACTTTCCAAGAGTTTGGGAGAAATTAGCAAAATGAGAAATACAGGTAGTCTCCTCTCATGAAGATTTACGGCCTTAGTAATATAATGAAGTTATGAGTCACAACTGACTTGATATAAAGGGTTTGGGTTCTTTTCTACAGGCTACACACAGAACAGGAAATAAGATGTACTCTAAACCTTACATAAAAGTTTCCTCTTTATTAACTTCTATATTGTGTCATTATTTTAGTCTCTGTTACAATATACTACTCTCTAGAGGCTGATGTATTAGTTAATAATATATTGTCATTTTTATCATGCAAAAATTGTTGGAAACCAGTAATTTTAGAATCGCAATTTAATACATATGCTCATATGACTGTAAAAGGATTAGAACATTTTATATAAAATAAAAGAAGCTAGGAAGACAATTATGTACGGTTGTATTTAACTAAAATATTTTTAATTGAGAGAGCTTTTTCTCTTTTCCTTTCTTTGATAAAATTATTCAATGCAAACAGTGTATTCTTCATAAATAATGCACCCTCTAAAGAATATGTACACAGCACACAGAGAAGACAAGTGTATGAAGAGCTTAAGTGAGTGGCCTAGTGGTAAGAAGCTGTGCTGCAAGCCCAAAGGTCTGCAGTTCAAATCCACCATTTGCTCTGTGGAAGAAGGATGGGCAATCTCCTCCCATTCCATTAAATGCCTCTGAAAACCCACTGGAGAGTCGGCTATAAGTGAGTTCCAATTCCACAGTATATAACAACAATTACACAGCCACATAATTATGCATTGGTTAGTTGTGGTAATAAAAAAAAGACCAAAGATTATACTGTTATCTCTATTCAAAAGAAAAACTGAAGAGACTGCTCCACATTCTGGTTTCAGCACAGCTATTCCCTGAAAGCTCTCAGAACAAGATGAGGTTTACCAGTGGTGAACATTCCAGTCAGAGGCTCCGACTGTCCCTCCTCGTATAAGGAGAAAATGGCAACGGTATACTCTGTGAGGGGTGTCAAGCCTTTCAGGGGAAATGTAGAAATAGGATCAACTTCAACCTGCAAGAGTGAGAGGATATAATAGTTACATTTGATACATAGTATATGAAGGAATCAGGAATCATTCTATTACTGTCAGTAACTGCCTTGGATACACATACTAGGAACAAGTGGACATCAACAAAAGACTCTTCAGTTCTGCAACCAGTCAGCTGGGTGTTTCTCTTTCCTTCCTATCCCCTGCAGATCTGCTAAGGTGCAGCCACCCACGCTCGCCTCCTGTTAAGTGTCCTTATTTCCCACCTCAGGGCTTTCATGCATGCCATGACTTCCACCTGGGATCTACCTTAACTAGGTCTTTTCAGAATCCGCTTTCTCACCTGCCAAGACTTGGCTCAAAGTCTACCTCACCCCAGGAGGTTTCTCTTTCTCCCTTGGAAGGATCATTCTGCAACTCTGACCTGTTTGTTTTCTCCCCCCTAGAGTCTGTCATAACCTGCAATTCACTTACGTCTTTGTAGACTTGGTTAATTTCATCGCCTGATTTGAGGGAGTTCATTGAGAGCAAAGGGCATCACTGAGTTATTTAACCCCAGCATAATGAATTCGACACTCAATAAACCATTTTCTTAAATTAATCTCTTTCTGATTTCTGTCAAGCTGAAATTCAATCCCAGTTGACCCTCCAGTGGATTTTCAGAGACTCTAAGTTGTACTAGATAAGACTGCTACTCTTTCTCCCAGAAAGCAGCTGGTGTATTCAAATCAGCTATTTTTGGGATAGTAATACAGTAACACAGCTCTTTACCCATTCCGACAACAGTGTTCCCTCTTGAATGAACAGAATAAGTAAATATATTGGCGGTAGGAGCACCAAAAAACCATTGTAAAGAGGTAACAAAGGCTTGTTTAAAAGAAGTGCCAGTCCAGAGACCCTGTCTGTACTTTCAAGGAAACAACTTCAGGTCAAAAAGACAGCGCCAACCCTGGAGAACTGAGGCACTTCTATTCTCAGTTCTTACCCTTTTGTAAACCAGACACTCTGCTGGAGAAAAGCCCAGCCAACCCCACCCCTCCAGCCTCCAGTTGAGGTGCTAGACAAACGAATGAAGTGATTTTACACCTCAATTAATCTCCCAGATAAACAACAATCCCATCAACTGACACATTGTGGAATAGATACGCTGCCCTTGCTGAGGAATCCTGGGTTGTTATTTTAAACCACTGCATATTACAATATGGGTTACACAGCAATGGTTAACTCAAAAAAATCCATTCTCTTCTTCTGAAACAGTTTTTCTAACACTGCCAGTAGCTCTCAGCACTGTTTACTCCAGTCTAGACGCTATGTGTATCTTCCCATGCATTAAAGTCACCTAGTCCTGGCTATAGTCCTCCGGGGCAGCTAAATATTACTCCCAGTTGGAAGATGTGAAAAGCGAGACTCTGAAAAGTTAAAGGAACTTGCTCGAAGGAAAGCCAGCAGGTAGCTAGGACTGAACCACAAATCCCGCAGATGCTATGTCTCAAGCTTTCAGACAGGATTTACAGTGTGGCATCATGATTTAACTCACAGAAAAACACAAATCCATATTTAAACTATGAGGTCAAGATAGAATCTCACAAATGATATTTTCATATTGCTAGACACTGTTTTGAAATGTAATAGCTAAGACTGATTTAGAACTCACACTATGTCACGTATTTTAACATACATAAATTCATTTAACAACCAACTCTAAAACCTTTGAGGGTGTTGTTCTTCTTATGTGCCCTCAAGTCAACTCATAGCATCTCATAGTGACCTTGTGAAAAATGGATCCGAACCCTGTTGTAGCCAATGTCATTCTCCCCATCTCCACTATGCTTGAGCCCATTGTTGTTTTTTTTTTTTATTTTAGCCTACGTAAATATTCTGTTTTTTTTAAATTTTTCATTTCAATGAACATCTACAGAGATTTTGGAATTTCATTCATTCATTGTTGCACCCCTCTCCCCGCCCCCCCCTCTTGAGCCCATTGTTACAGTCCCTGTGTCAATCCACTGTTAAGGGGCTTCCTCTTCTATGTGGACCTTCTGCCTTTCCAAGCTTGATCTCCTTCTCCAAAGACTTGCCCCTTTTTACAACATGCCCAAAGTATGTGAGACTAAACTTCATCATGTTTGCCTCCAAGGAGCGCCCTGGTTTCACTTTCTCCAAAACAGTCCTGTTTGTTCTTTTATCCATAGGATATTAGTACTCTTCTCCAACACCATAACACAAAGGCATCAGCTTTTATTCTGTCATTCTTAGACACTGTTTAAGTTTCAGATGCATAGCAAGCATGGCTTTGATCAGGTTAAACTGACTTCATAGTTCTTTAGTACTCTAAAGAGGTTTGAGAAAGCAGATTTCCCCAATGTGACTCCTCTCTTGATTTCTCAACTAATGGTATCATGGGTGATGATTGTGATTCCAAGTTAAGGTGAAATCACGGACAAGTTCAATCTTTTCTCCACCTACCGTGCTGCTGTCATCGGCCCAGTGGTGAGCAATTTTGTTTTCCTGATGTTGAGATGTGACCCATATTGAAGGCTGTAGTCTTTAATCTTCTGCGGTGTTTCAGTTCTTTTTCACTTTCAGCAAGCAAGGTTGTATCATCTGTGCAACACAGGCTGTTGGTAAACTTTCCTCCAATCACCCACCTTCTTCTTCAGATAGCCCAGCTTCTCAAATGATTTCCTCAGGATGGAGAAAGGATACAGCCCTGGTGTCTACCTTTACTGATTTTAAACCATGCAGATTTCCTTTCTTCTGCTCAGACAACAGCTTTTTGCTCTATGTATAGGTCTTGCATGAACACAATAATTAAGTGTTCTGCGATTCCCATTCTTCCCAATTGTAGCCCTGATTTATCAGCATCCATACAACTGAATGTCTCTGCATAGTCAATCAACCACATAAAAGCATCTTTCTGGTATTCTGTGCTTTTAGCCAAGAAGCATTTGACATTAGTGGTTACTTCCCTCATACCACAGCCTCTTCTGAATCCAGTTTGAATTTCTGGCCATTTTCTGTCGCTGTACTATTCCACCTGTTTTTAACCTGTCTGGAACTTTAGGTAAACCATGAGACTACAAGAGGAATGCTCACAACCAAATACACACACACACACACACACACACACACAGACACACACACACACACAGAGAGTGTTTGTGTGAAATAATGTCTCTTTATTGTTTAAACTGTAGAAGAGTCTTGCTTTGCATAAAAGAGAACTGAGGCAGAATAAGACAGAAAACCAATCTTTTAAGGACATCTAGTTTGCTTATCTAAGCAGTTCACTTGACACTGAAATGACCTTTTCATATTATTTCAATATTGTTGTTATTGTTATGGGCGCCATCAAGTCACCTGAAACTCATCGTAATCTTATGTACAGCAGCTCTGAAGCTTGTCCTTTCTCAGGCAGGCTCACTGACTCTGGTACACCCGCTACCACTGCTCAAGTTACTGTATCAATCCATCTCATCTGGGGTCTTCAACTCCTGTGCTGAACCCTTCCAAGCATGATGTCCTTCTCTATGGACTGGTCTCTCCTGGCCAAGTGTCCAAAGTATGTGAGACAGAACTTCAAAATCTTACTCTCCAAGGAGAAACTTGGTTTCTCCTTCTCCAAGATTGACTTAACTTGTCTTCTTGGCTGTCCATGGTATGTTCAAGACACTTCTCCAGTACCTCAACTCAAAGGCATCAGTTCTTCTTCTGCCATCCTTATTTTGGCAGAGACAGCTTTGTTTCATCTAATAATAACACTTAACATTATTTATTGTTATTAAAGGCATGGTATATTTTTAAATTCTTAGTTTTGGAACCAATTTTGCTTGGTAGTACTTTTCAGATACTAGGATAAGAATCTGAAAAAATATAAAAAATGATGGTGTCCCATTGTTATGTAACTATTTTGAGAATATAACAATGACGATGACAAAGAGAGATCTACGTTGGCCTAGTGGAAAGGAAGCTATGCTACCAAGCCGAAGGTGAGTGATTGTCATCTGTGGCCCTCGGCCAGGTTCAAATTGTCTTCCTGTCAAACATTCTTCTAGGTGGTATAGCACTGGTCTGTGTGTTGCTGTACAGAGGTAACTCATGGTTGCTGTGATGCTGAAGACTGTGACAGTGATGTGCCAATCATGGTAACAGGTACCCATGGTGGACAGTGTTGGCTGGAGCTTCCTGACTAAATCAAGCCTGGAAGCAGGAGCGACATCCACTTCCAAAATGGCTTGTCTCCGGAAACTCTATGTACAAACAGTGCTCAGGCCGTTCGTTCATAGGGTCGCTATGAGTCGTCTACGACGCGACGGCATCAAACAACAACAACAACAACAACAACAACATTTTGAGAATAATTAATGAAACGGTCTAGCTAAAACCTTCATTTCTGCTGAACCTGGGAACGTGTAACGAGTCCTTGAGGAGAAAGGGCAGGCAGCCTCCACTTGACTCAGCTGCTGGGTTAGAGCTGGCAGGCAGCGGGTCTGGTCTCTCAGTCTCAGAACTACAGCTCTGCACTTACAAGACTCACGTAACACCATTCATTCCACTCCTGACCATGTCTGCACATTGTCCCTCAAACCTTTCGCAGCAGGTGAAAACTGACGGCTCTAGTGCTCACTGGACAAGAAATGGTTGGACAGTATTTGATTCCGTAAAGACAACATGAGAAGCAGCTATAAATTCTCAGACAAGACTCGGCCCGTCACACTAAGCGTGCTGAGGCATCTGATGCTCGCCATCATTCAATCCATCATCGGCAACAGATGTCTGTCTCAGAACCAACTTCTTGTTGTTGAAGACTGTCCAGTTGGAAGTGACTCACAGCTGACTCTTCAGGGTCCTAAGCCGACACTCTCTATACACATTTTCAGAGAAAAAAATAATAACACAAGAAGAAATTCCCCATCTCTCTCCTGAATAGCAGCTTGGGGATTTTAACCACATACCTTTGGGATGATGTGCAATTCCTTAGCACTAAACCATCAAAGCTCCCTAAAAACTAACTAAATGGGGT